GCGGAAATAACATTTGAAGCTTTTCAGAGGAAAGGTAAGAGTGCTTCAAATAAAACAATCATTATTAGTGCAAAGGAATGAAATAAAACTTGTGTATTGCCAATAAAGTCCTCAAACAAACTTGCTACTTGTAATTTCGATATGATAGAGAGGAAAATATGAACCAAAATAAAAGTCATGCAACTTCAAACTTTTCTCCGGTTTTAAGAATGAGTTAAAGCCAGATTTTAACGCTAACGAGACAGCAAAGGCGAGTTTTTTTTGGCCCTGAGTCTTGAATAAGTCCCTTTGTTAGAACGAAATAACGTATGACAGGTTTGCTAAAAGTTATGGTCTGGAAAAGCATGCAGCTTAAAAAAATTCACCCTCCCCATCCAGAAATATGAAAGTGTTCTGTTAGTTGGTCCTTATGTACCAAAATCAGTTACACAGATACACCAATCTAAGGGCGATTCATCGAAAAAAGTACCTCCAACTTGATATAAATAATCTAATATAACCGTGACCAGGGCATCATTAATTCTGCAAGGAACATCATACCCGTAATTTGACTGATCTGTATATTATTGGACTGTTGGTGTAGACTAGCTCGAAAACCACGCGCAAACGAAAGGCACCAGGAGTGTGATCAGGAACAGTTTATCTCGCTCTCTGAGGCTCTGTATATTTCTTCTTTCTCTCAAATTCAGCCCTAAGTACACGCTCTTTACCCTTCCACTCCCAGGATACCAATAATAATTCTCCTTACAGTCTTCCACACAATTCTCAAGATGTTAGTTCGGAGAATTTGGTATGGATCAATTGATAATCTTGTTATTGGTATTTTTTTCTTCATTCTCCTCATTTGTCTGCTTGATAATGTTTGGTATTGTCATGAAAAATTCTGTCACAGTTATGGGAATTAAAGGGTAATTAAATACCCCATCGGTATGCATGTTGGGTTTACCGTACAACTGATCTTGACAGAGTACACATATTTTTAGAACGCTAACCAAAATAATCTCACAAGTTATTCGAAATGAACAACAAAGTACTTGAAAAGCAAACAATCCTCGAGAACTAAAACCTGAACAAAACTTCCCGTTGAGGACTCCTCAGAAAGGTCAAGGACAAACCCATAAAAGAGTGGTCTTGTAGCTCATAACAAACCAAGGCTCACAAGACCAGCATAAAGATTTCAAGATAATGTAACAGGCCTAAAAATTCCTCAAACATTAAGTCAGAACATTCCTAATTTTAGTAGTTCCCAAATACTTCTAATCATAGTAGTTAATAACAATATTTTTTTAAACTGGTAATGATAGGAAGCTGAGAAGAACCCACAGATTACGTTATGTCTATACGTTACAGCAATTGCCCGTGGTACAAGCGACTTAAACAAAAAAGGTGCAAAATAAATAAATTAAAAAACTTCTCTCCAACTCACCACACAAACGAACAGCTAAGTCAGTTCTCCGTCTCCATGGAATTTTCACAACACTGCGGCTTTCTTCGAGCCGAGGGCCTAGAAGTAAAAAGGAATTATAAAGTCTTCTACATTCAATCAATTCTGACAATTAATTTTTAGAATTGAAACGGTCGAAACGCGAACATTTTGGAAAACTACATCTAACGACCCGGCATTGTTTGTATTACAGAAAGTATACCCTAACAGATCTCAGTTTGAAAGTGGTAGAATAGGAGAATTCTATATCATTGTAACAGATCAACGATTATTTAAGAGTTGTCTAAGATTTTGTTCTAACCGTTATGAAAAGGAAAGGAAACGAAAGTACTTTAGTATCGTCAAATGTTTGTTTTCAAATCTCATTAACGACAGAAGTGATCATGAACAAAAGGGGCAGCGAAAGTAAGATGAATCTGACATCGTCCTCATCTAGGCGAGGTTAAATATAATGTGAGAAATACGGTTTGTTAAGGGTCCATGCTCTGTAATCTGGATCGAGTGGTCAGCTTGTTATGTTGAGAAGGACAATTTTCTCCCTATGAGAT